TATGAGTTGATTTTTTTTTTTTACTTTAAAGCATGATTTGTTTTTTGCTTTTATTGGGAGAGGTGTGACTGGCACCCCCTAGATATACTACAGATGCCATCTGCTCATTGTTAGATGGCAGACCTAGCAGATTGTTAAGATAAACAAAATGTTGCATGCATCTGCGTGTTGCATTCTGTATGGAATCGCATTCACTGACAACTGTCAGCGCAGTGTTTTCCCGGCTTTGATGGTAGCCAATTCTGGTTAAATCCCACCTTTTTTCCAAGGCTTATAAGAAAAAAAATGTAATTAATAGTGAATTTAAATAGTATTTGAAACAAAGTACCTCTTGGTTATTAAATTTTTATGAACCATATTTTAAAATATTCAGAAACTGTATCAAAAATGTTAACAATTTTCTTGCTTGCCCTACATGATAGAATTCAATTATGAAATTGAAAGTACAGTAGACGAAAATTTACGATTTAGTATTATGGGCTTTAAAAAAGGGAAGTTTCTCTTTTCCTTTTTCCCCCTCTTTTGTTATATTTTCCCACAACTTTCCCTAACCATGTTAAATAATAATAATAATAGATGGATTTATACAGCGCAAATAAACGAGGTCTCACAAGAATATATGCTGATGTGCGTATATTAAAGTATTTTTTGTTTTTTTTTCAAACTGGGTGAATCGATCGACATATACAGTATGGCTTATATTGGTCCATCCAGGCACCATAAAACTTTAAATAGAAGCCCAATAGCTTATTCTCGAGAAGAAGCCCATCTTGAATTAAAGCCCTCTCTTTAGTTTGCAAAAGTAGCCTCGAAAAGAAGCCCATGCTATCCTTAAAAGAAGTCCATGGGATAGTACAGTACATACACTGTACATGAATTTCATGAATTGTACAAGATAAATTAATAAAAATGAGCCTGGTTTCTACTGTAGTTTTGGTCATTTAATGCCAGTTAATACACTCGATGATACAGATTGATGTTACAGTGACCCTATGTATTGGTTTATACTAATAGTAATTCCAAAAATTAACAGTATTCATTTTGAAAAGAACCCCCCCCCCCTCTCTTTTTATTTTGCAAAAGTAGCCTCGAAAATAAGCGCATCCAGAGTTTGCAAAAAAAAACGAAAGCCCACTGCTTCTATTCAAGGTTTTTAGGTATCTCAATCTTGGACCAACAACGTCACTTCTGATTCGTGTGATTTGTAACTTGGACAAGACACAAGCCTTTAACGTTTTAAAGCAAACATGTTTCGAGAAAGCCAGTTCATTTTCAATAAATATACAAGGAGGAAATTAATATAAAAATTTTTAAAGAATTTTAATCTGCAAAACACAGTTTCAACTAGAAAACATACTAATAATACTTTTAATGGATTAAAGATATCTTGAAAGATTTGAACCCCTAAATCTGTGAATGAAAGGGAGGTGCCATCCTTAAAATGTTGGATATCCACTTTATTAGTTCGCAAAACCAGCAAATTAAAATAATAGTTTAGTTGTTTTGTTGAGTAATAAATTTTAATGATTTCTTTATAAAAAAAATCCAAAGTTTCTGTTTGTTCGTTTACTTTATTTAGCGACATTTCGTTTTGTTGAGCACCGTTTCTAAACAAATGTGGCCGGTTCTGGTAAAACGAGCTATTGTAAGAAAATTTCAAAATTAGTTTTTGGTATGTTTTTGATCTGCTTAAATTTTTCTTTAAAACAGAATCTAAAATATACCAAAAACTAAATTTTGAAATAATAATAATAATAATAATGTAATAATAATAATAATAATAATAATAATGGAAATTGGTTGAGTATTAGCAAGTTATGAATACTTAATTCCTTAGATATCAGCCATGTAGGTTTTGAGATAACAGCTTCCAAAGATTCTAAAATCAATAGTTTATTATTAAGATTTTAAAAATATTTTTAATATACTTTTCAGTAAGATTTTGTGATTAATATTTTGCAGAAGTGTTCTTCTTTTATAAAATTCAAAAACTTGAAACTGTTTAAAGATGTATTGTCCTTTGATAATGTCAAAAAATAATAAACTATTAAATTTTGAAATAAACTTGCTCATCTTGCAATAGCATACAAATTATTAACTTGTGCATAAAAAATATTGAATTTAAAAAATGTGTTCCCTGATTTTTAAACTAAAAAATTATAATAAAAATAATGAAACACTTCCAATGACTGGAAGTGTTTCTATCATTTTCCGCTGTAAACTGATGAGTAGACATTTTTTTAAATAAACTAATTTCTATGTTCAAGTTGATAATTTTTATGTTACTTCAAAATGGACCAGTTAATTTAAAAAAATATTTTTATGATTTTTTTGGTATTAAGCATGGGACAATACATCTTTAATATTGCATGTGCGAAATTAGAAATTGCAACAGGCGGCAGGTTTTGTCAGAGCTGGTCATAAATACAAAGGGGAAGAGCAGTAGGGAAGAGTAGAAAAAAAAGAAAATTATAAAAAGTTGAGTAACGATTATAGAAAATAAAGGAGGCGTTTAAAGAAGAAAATGAAAATATACTTTTAAGAAGCAGATGTTTAATCAGATATTTTGTATCACGATTATAGGAGTCGGCCTCTACTCAACACAGCTTCATCCAGTATTTCACTTACATTTTTATTTTTATACATGTCATGAGGATTTGTCAGATTGTTTCGAGATTAATTCAGACTTCAAAACTGATATGTTTTTATTGAAATTAAGTTACATAGAACCTGATATATTTGATTTAAGTTTTGATCTCAAGTGTTGCGACTTAAGTTGTAGTTGTAGAAATGTTATTGTGTTGGACTTGTAGATCCTGAATTTTGTAGTACAGTACTTACGTGTTTTTATTGAAATTAAGTTGATGTGGAACTTGATTTGTTTGACTGAAATTTTTAACCTTAAATTTTGTGACTTAAGTTGTGTTGAATTTAATTGTATTGGACCTAAGTTGTAGAATCTATTTTTTTGTACATAAAAGTGTAGAATCTAATTTTGTTATACTTAAGTTGTAGAATCTAATTTTATTGTACTGAAGTTGTAGGATATAAATATATTATACTTAAGTTAAACTGTAGAACCTTTTTTGATGTACTTAGTTGTAGAATCTAACTTTATTGAGCTTAACTTAATAGAACCTGAGGTTATTGTACTTAAGTTGTTGAACCAATACTAGTTTTATCGATCATATCTACGTATGCAGACTTAAACTTGCATTTTGTACTTACTTTTTTAATATCCTTTCTAAAGTTTATGTTAAAAATACTATAGGGAATTGTGCAGATGGAGATGATAGGCAGGTAAATAGCGATTGAACTGGTGTCTAATATTCCCTCAAGTTGATGCTCTATGCTGGATTAACTTTCTTATTCCCAAAACTGACACTAAAAGGAAGGATGTAGAAAGAAATGGTAATACGGAGCAGGCAGCTCCACATGTGAACGGATGCTAGGCTTGTGCTGTGTTTAAGCCCCTGCCATCTGATATATTAAGATTCCACAATTATGCTGATATATACTGTACATATGTATGAAGTTCCTATATGCTATATTTATGCTATATGTATATAGCCACAATTAATTCAGATATATCTATTCAATATTCATATACCCACGCCGTGTTACCCGTGGATCTTCTGTTGGTACACTTTTGGATATTCGTCGCTGCAGGACTGAGCTCTCATTTCAATCCTTTATCACTCGTTCTACCAGAATTTGGAACATTTTACCCTATGAAATTCGCAATTTTAATTTATCTGTCAGTTCGTTTAAAACTAAACTTTTAAACTATTTTTATAACTATTTCTTAAATAATTTTGATGTTGAAAATGTTTGTAGTTGGTCACTCTCGTGTAGATGTTCCTTTTGTAGAGAGTTTCTGTATTGTTTTGGGTTGAACAACCTGCATAGGTGTTTAGCACCTGTTTGGTCTTTCCTTGCCATGTTTTGTAAATTTGTTTGTTGTTTTGTGCTTGGCAGAAATTTGAATAAAATAAAAATAAAATATATATGCGATATGTATGCTATGTGTGTGTATATGCTATATGTATGTATATGCTTGTATGCTGATTGTATATAGCTCCTTTGATTCTTGATTTTACTTCTTGTGTGCGTGTGTGTGTTTATTCAAAATTAATATTCAAAAATTACTTCAATCCTAAGCTCTGTCCAGATTATCAAATTTTCTCTGACAAAAAAAACTGTTGTATGTCCATATATAGTCATGATGTGCCTATATTATGGTCATGGTGTGAAGACATCATGACCATATTTGGGCATGTCACAAGATTTTTTCTGGATATGGCTTAAGGATTGGCAATATGAACTTGTCTTTTTAATTATTAATGATATGAAACTTATATTAATATGATTGAATTATGGGTTTATAATTTTAAAATTATGTTGACAGAACTGTTTTTTTTTAATTATTATTATTATTATTATTATTATTATTATTATTATTATTATTGTTTATTATTATTATTATTATTATTATGATTAACGAGTACTTGATGTGCCTGTCATATTTTTTCCACTCTTTCATATATTTTGCATTTCTTTCATGGTCCAAAAAACAATGTTTATTTATCAACTTTTTTGTGTTTTTTGTTGAGCTCTGTCCCCACCATTAGATGGGACAAATACATACAGTTTGCTAATGTTTGGATGTGATGTGGTAATTATGACATCATCATCATAATGCCTATATATACAGTAGGTATGATATAATATCTTGTCCATATGAATGACAAATCGCATATTCTTCCACAGAATGTTTACATTTTGACTAGCATAAGTGGATGAATTCAGGCTCATGAACAAACATAGCTGTTTCTTGTTTGTTCGTCTTTTCATTTATTTATTCAACCACAATTTACATGATAAAAAATGGCTAGAGACAGTTAAAAAGAAAAGAATCTTTATAACCCATGGAAGGCCGACTGCATCTTTAACTGCCCTTTTTATGCCAATATTGACTTTTATTTTCATCTTTTTTGTAGTCATTTATCTTATGAGGCCAAGGATTTGATTTTCAAATTGCTGAAGAAGAATCCGTATGATAGAATATCACTGTCAGGTAAGCTGCTACAAAACATTAAGCTTGGTCCAGACTGCTGTATGCCCATATATAGTCATGATGTGCCTATATATGGTCATGATGTGATGTCATGATGACCATATTTAGGCATGTAACATGTTTTTGTCAAATAAAATCTGATAGTCTGGACAGTGCTTAAATACAAAAATTATATAATCTTTACTCAATGAAAGTCTGTTCAGATTTTGTTGAGATTGGTTAAATGTCTTCAAATAATGAGCAATAAGGAATGTTGTACATTGTGGATTAACTATTGAAATCTGTTAGATTTGTTTGTATCGATAGAAAATCTTTTAAAACAACAAGGAATAGCACATCGTGATTTGACCTTTCACATTACCTTAACATTCACTAATGACGTAGCTTAGTTTCACATTTTTACGTCGGCCATAAATGTCGGTGCCCAGAAAGGAAGTATCTTAAGGAAACTTTCACACATTTAAAGAAAAACCGAAGAAACCAAAGCTTAAATATGACGTTTATTCGCAATTATAATTAATCCTTACAGTTTGTTTTGTCCTAAACCTCTACTATAAGGACTTTCGATTGCAATGTATTGATGTCAGTAAAATTCGTCTGCGCATTTGAGAACATTAAATTTTCCTTTACGTGTGAATTCTAGAATGCAATTTGGCCAAATCTATGTTGTGTAGAGAACGTAGGATGGTCACGCATGAGTGAATTAATTCTAGAGTCACGTCATCGTGCAAATCAAAAGTTCTCTAATATCTTTGATCAGACTTTACGAATCAAAGCATTTTGAGGATTTTCTTTTATATTATAAAAAATGTGATGTGGCATACCCAAATATGCGTATGATGTGACGTCATCATGTCCATATATTGGTGTGATATGATACCATTTCCATTTGTGGGCCTATCACAAAGTTGTTAGTGTGGATAGAGTGTGAGACTTTTCTATACCTTAATTTGCGAACCCGCCACCCGGGCAAATATGTTATAATGATTGTCAGCTTTCTGTATCCACTGTGTTGTTACCAGCAATCAAATATCAAATTTTAACATGTTATTCTCTTTGTGTAATTTAGATTTTAAACCCTTCTTTCTTAACAGGAATTCTAGACCATTCTTTTATGACCAGGCCAAAATACAAACATCAACGAAAGGATCACCGGACGTCACAAAAACAGGTGAGATATCTATAACGTGATCAAAATCTCTTCCCGATCGCAGCTCTCCACAATTAGTAACGTGCGAAACAAACAAGTTTATTCCAACTAGTTCATGACAATTAGTTCGCGATTTAGAGGATCGTAGTTGATAACGCTAGGGAATTCAGAAATTGAGAATAACGACACGTGAGATTAATCTTGTGAGGATGACCGATTCACACGGTGTTGTATTTTGCACATTTTGATGTTTTGATAGCTGTCAATCAGTCGTTAGTGTCAGTGTTGAAGCATCCTGTTGAACTGTGATTCACCTGCGAGGTCAACGCAAAGGTCAATGTCTGAGCAGTGTTACCTGCAGTCATATGGCTCATATATGAACGATAAATGCTTTAGCTCTATTCGTACGGTACATGATCGTACCATGCGGCCTACTAATTCACCACTACCTGGGTTGATTAATCGTGTATGTCTGATCGCAATTACAAATAGATTGCGTAATTATAGAACTGTGGGGCGGCGTACATCCCACTTTGATGTTACAATTAAAATGCATTTAATATTTTCAAATTATTCATCAATTCTGTACGTTTTTCAAAAACCTTGCCTTTCGTCGACTTGCAGGACAACAGTTTTAATGAACTATAATTCGATACATATTGGCCAGTTTGTTGTCAATTATGGAATCGTCAAAACAAATTTACAACAGGGAGAACAGGTTTAGAATTTCTGTTGCTATGGTTACTAGGATGTATTCCTTTTCTTGATAATCGGCTTGGCTTCTGTTTACAATTTCAGCCATATTTCTCCCGGTAATTGTGTGTCTTATCTTTGTCCAGGTTATCAAATTTTCTACACTATTTTATGCCCATATTTAGTCATGATGCACTTATATTTAGTCATGATGTGATGTCATCATGACCGTATTTAGGAATGTCACATGTGTTCGTCAAATAAAATTTGATAGTCTGGATGTGGCTTTAGGTGGGTTGTTATTAATATTTTCTATTCCTCTCTATATTGCATCGAGTCTTTGTATCTGGTTTTCTATTGTCTTTATTGTTTTTTTTTTGTTTTTTTTTTTTATAATAATGTAGTGATATACTATATGATGCTTACCATCCCAAAACTAGCGTTCTGTTGCTAAATGTTAAACTGGGTATAAATAATAACAGTAAAAAGTGGCAGTATTGTATACTTTATTACAGAGAAGTAATCCTTTTAGTCATAATTTTGCAGTAGTAAGTCGATTCCAGTAAGTTACAGGTACCTATTGTATAGTATCATTTTAAAGCTTTTCTTGTTTTGGTTTACTGAAGTTAGTTTTGGCATGGCAAGCCCCATGTTTTATGTATGGTATGTTTAGCTATCTGTCTATATATATACAGTCTTATTTTTCTATACTGTGTACCGTATGTATCTCTTTGTGCATGCAATATGTTAATATGTGACAATGACATCCCTAATCATAGGCGTATGCCCTTGACCTTGGTGGATAAATCGGGACAGATGCGCTGATGGTGTGCGTGTCTTAACGCTAACGAGATAATGAGTCTTTTCACACATTCATGTTCCGTCGGCGGCTTAAGTCAAGTAATATTTTGATGTCTCAGGGTCTGGATTCACAGACAACGGTTGCTGTTGGCCTGATTCAAATGTAACGACATGTAACGACATCTAACAGGTCTTCTGCCTGTGGTCATCAAAAACCTGGCATGGCAATGTCATGCTAAGGGTCCCAAATAATCAGCTAATACTTGAGTGTTCACCCTCATTGATTATGGTTCAAATAAATAGAATAAATATATAATGCAAACTTTAATTAATAGGAAAAAACTAGATAATCATAAATTCATGAACACCGAATATTATTTGGATTTGCGCCATAAAAGACAAGGGGAAAGACAAATTTATGGATCATAGTTTTATAATAATACGTATATCTCACTCAAAGAAAACAAAATATTAAAAAAAAAACTTTTTGATGAATAAAAAATATTTCTAAGCATATACAGTGAAACTCACTAAAGTCGACTGTGCCAAGGTCGAATAATTTCTAAGTCAATCTTATTTTACATGCCAATTGTTGTGTTTTACATTAGTTAACAATATGTAAGTCAAATTTTATCCAAGTCGAACAATATTTCAGTGGCATTTTGGATTCGACTTGGGCATGTTCAACTGTAGTAAAATTGTTTAATTTTAACCAATTTGAGGATATCAAGTATTACCCAGGTTTGTAATTAGATTGATAAATATTTTATGCTTATTTAATTGTAATTAAAAGAGATTCTTCTTTAGAGACTTCACACTGGCATCAAACATATTGGTAATTATAGTAGAAATAAAAATATATGTTTTGTTTTTAAATTTTGCATATTTTTAATTGGCTGGTTGGTAACAGGCTAAATCTAGAATTTTATTTTTATTATGTCATTATGAAGACAGGCAAGTTTTGTGCAATTTTTTTAAAAATTTAATTTAATTTAATTTAATTTTAAATTAAATTAAATTTTAATTTAATTCAATTTAATTTTAAATTTAATTTAATTTGGCAAATTTGTGTGATGTGTCCATATATAGGCATGATGATGGCATACTACACCCAAATATAGGCATATCACAGTTATTCGTCACATACAATTTGAAAGTAGGCAATGCTTCAAAACATTGCCTACACTACAGCTTAGCTGCTAATATGCAATAGTAGCACAAGTAGTAGATGTTTTAAATATGTGAAAGCTGTTCCACAATCTTGATGACATCTCAAGTTGACAAGCTATTTTGAAAGTTAGTGCAATTCTGATATTCCAACAGTACAGTGATTCCTATTGGATGAAATGGTTTACACTTTCAGTATGCAGGCATCAAGATCCAATCTAAAATCAGAAAAGAAAAGTGTTTGGTGTCTGTTAATCTTCGGAAATAATTTAACAAGGTCCCACTGTACATTGATACTTTACCCATTTTTTTATGTTTTTTTTTTTTTTTTAGTGTATAGGATATTCATAGATACATTTGAATAAGTGTATAGGATATTTTTTTTTTAAGTGTATAGGATATTCATAGATACATTTGAATAGATAGTTATAATAATTTATTGAAATATTATGACCAACTCTTTTTTTTTTTTGCATTTTTATATTTTTGCAATTAACAGAATCAGAATGTTTCTTATACTTATTTGATACAGAATTTATTTATTTTTTATAGTGAATGGTTTCCTCTGAATGACAAAAAAAAAATGTTTATCGAATTGTATGAAAGATGAAAGCAGGCTTTATATGTTAAAGTTGACCGGCAGTGTTTATTGGATGTCCAACAGCATGTTTTGACCATGAATTAAGACACATGTGCAACAAACTACGTCTAGTTTATCATTTACACACTGCCAAGCTAGCGCAGACCTTAAAATATCACACAAGTTCCTGTTTTGTAAGCATATTTGCAGTCAAATTGCAGGCTAGGTTAGACAGCCTTCTCCAGCAGCCTAGGCCTGAGTTCAGTTGTGTTATTTGCTGTCACTTAATATTACAGCATGGTGATGTAGCAATAAAGGAGTTCAAAAGGGTTAAAACATGTACAAAGCCATCCACTACTGAACTGAACTCTGTTATAGGTGGAACACTATTACAGTTATTCTTTCCTTCGGATGGGATTTAAAGGAGTTGGTCCATCAAGAGTGATGTTATAATGGCTTTGTAGACAAAGAAAACTAGTAGTAACTGTAGTGTGTATGTGTTCATTAGTATTCTTCATTCTTATACAGGCAAATTCATGCCTTACGTCTTACTGTCATCTATGAAGTTATTTTTTTTCAATTTGGTTGATTATTGTTGTTAAACGAGGCAAGTTCTTGCCTTTGCAGCTAATTTTATGAGTACAATTAGAGTAAGTGTATACATATAAAATGAAATTTTATGTAGTTATGAGAGTCATACTTATCAACTTCTATAAATAATAAGAAAAAAAACTTAAGGATTTTTTTGTTCTCTGGCAGAGGATAACTGAAGCATCAATTGATAGTGGAAATGCAACAATGGCAACGATTTCTACAGCAATGACAAGCACCGGACGAATAACATCACGTAGCAAGCCCATGAAAGCTTTTCCCACATCAAACCTCACACCAGTTTTACCAGAAGAGAGGCCAATTCTAGCCAATCAGAAGGCTGCTTCTATGAGCAACAGCTCGCTAGGACGAGGGGAAGATGTTTGGCCGAGACATGCTAGACAGTCACCACCATCGAGACAAAGAACAAAGTAAGAAGAGAAAGGAATCAAATTTTTCTTTGTTCTCTATTCCTAAGATAGTATACTAATATCCTACTGTAATTGATATTATGTTATGATATTTGATGCATAATTCCCATAACATGTTGGCATTTATTTGGTATTTTGTTCAACTTTTCATTTTGCATGACTTTCATAATTCTTGACAGCTTTCATATTCTGTAAAAAATTTCAACGTGAACAAATAACAATCTGCCCTTGTGAAATCATTATAGTGTAGTTGTAACTAGTGCGGTTTATACCCAATTCACACGTACACCAAATGTAACAAGTTTTAAAAAGATGTCCAGGCTTCAGTGGGAGTGGAAAATCAATTTGTTGTACAGATAAAACATCCTAGGACATTGAAGGGGTATTAATACCTCTTTCCACCAGTATTTTTATTTCCAACAATTTGTTGGTCCTGAATTTTTCTTCAAACAATGCTTCATTGACATTAATAATTTGGATTATCTTTAATGGTTCTGTACATAAGTTCTGTGTGACATGTATCCTGTATAAATGTCCATATATGGATGTATTCATCAACATGCCCATATATGCAGTAAGAAAAAAATATGTTAAGATATAAATATCTTCATCAGTTAAGTAGTACAGCTCATAACTTTCAGTGCTTTCTAATAGAATCCTGGTCTTAAGGGGTCAGGTTGATGACCTAGGTAGTTTATCCTACACTTCAGGCCTTCGCTAATTAAATAACCTTAAGTAATTATACTCATTTTAAATGAAGTCACAGGGATTTTCATCTAATATCCCCCGCTATTAATCCCCAATAAGGACAATCCCTGTACAGTATTGAAATACCGAACCGTGTAAAAATTTATTAAGAAGTTGTGTCGCGTAAATCCCAGGGTTTGGTTTGTATAAAGTTATCAACAGTACTGACATGCATTTGAATGTACATACTTCCCTCTCCAGACTATCAAAAACCATTATATGCCCATATATAGTCAAGATGTGCCTATATATGGTCATGTTGTGATGTCATCATGACCATATTTAGGCATGTCACATGTTTTTGTCAAATATAATTTGATAATCTGGACAGGACTTTTTTTAAATAATAAAATTCGTCTTTACAGTTTGAGCAGCTCCAATTGTTCGGGAGGCTCAAAGGGACCGTTTGACCTCAGTGGTAAGGCAACCTCACCCGTGGACCTCGCCACCTCATCCAACTCGTGGCTAGCCGGTATTAAAGATAGCAAAGGTGAGTTGGGATTGACACATATTTGAGAAGGATGTTGTTAATCACATTCATTCATCATCATGTTGAGTGATGTAACATCCTCTGATCAACTTCCTCTAATTTTCTCTTATTATTAATCAAGCATGTTCTTGTTGTGTGTTTTTTTTTAACCTTTATAGTTGAAGATTTATCAACTATTGCAAAGCCTGAAAAACATTTTAAAAATGTTCATTTATTTATTTTTTTCTTTATTAGGGAAATTAGGGACATATCTAGCTCATGACAGACAGCGTGGCAATGTTGATGGTGGGAATAGTAATATTCTATCACCTGAAAGGCACTCCTTCCTCAGAGGAAGTAGCAGAGGGTCATCCTCAAAGATGCCTCAAAGTGGTGAGAGCAGATCAAGACAACAATGGAAGGGTAGCAAAGAGGATGACTTGTACTCATCTAAGGAAAAATTAACAAGTTTGAGTAATCTGAGTAGATTTGATTACCTCGACAATCCAAGACTGAAACGCTACAAATTTTCATCTTCCCAAGAGCAACTCTTCAGAAGGACTGGCATCCATGATGGCATGGGTGAGAGATCATTGTCAGAGCAAGAGCTCAGCTCAATATCTGAATCCAGACAAACACAGAAGGCCACTTTGCAGGCCGAAAGCAGAAAAGAATATTCTTCTGAACTAAACTTGCATGATGAGAGGATTGTAACAAGATCAACAAACAGTCATAGAGCTCATGAAAACCAAAATTTTGATTACACCGGCAAAAGGAATTATCAGAAAGATGATTGTTTTACTGAGAATAGCATCGAAAGAGGAAGTGACTGGAGGTCTAAGGGTACAAATGTACATGGTGGGCAATATCAACAACAAAAGGAATACCATGAACATGGAGGTCACCAGTCTGAGCTGAAAGAGATTCGACATAATAATCATGGCTCTGGTATCTGCAAGAATAATGCCATGCCTGATGGAAATCAGCAGATGAAGAAGGTGCAAGATGGCAAGGAAGTCTCTAAAGTAGATGTAAAGAGCCATGGTGACCTGCCACCACCTCTTAATGCCAAGAGATTGCGGCCAATCAGGCAGAGAACAAGAAATGCAATGGTGAGTTCTTTTTGCCAATGTTAGCACATTCAATTTTTCAATACAAGGTTTGCTCTTAATAGTAAAATAATAACTAGGGTATAGTTTAACAAATTCTAGGTTATTATTTTTTATTATTATTAAAACAGCCTTAACTGCTGATTTGAATCTGATTACAGAAGGGCAACAGAACAAACATAGCAAACAGAACAGTAAAGCAAGACATACAATAATTTATTCAGTAGCAGACCTTCTGACTTTCAAAAACCATGTACAATAATAAAAATTGGCAAGTCTTAAGATATGAATATGAATTGCCTGCAAAAACAGTTGTTGAGAAAAAGTACATTGTTGGCCATGCTGCAAATAAGATGCCAGCTCTCAGAGTACCACAGTATCTCAAACATTTTTGGCTTTTCTTGTAATAATTCTTTGGTTACATTTTAATAGGTAAGTATCTTGGACACTGGTGAAGTCTGTCTGGAATTCCTCAAGACTCGAGAAAATCAAGAGAAAGTTGTGGAAGTTGTCAGGATATCTGAAGATGGTTTGCAGGTATGTTTCATTTAAGCTTACAGTTTACAAGAAGCCACCAAGAGATTTAACGAACTGTTGGTTGCGTTAATTTTTCAGTAGAGGAGCAACTATATATTCAACATAGTGCTTGATTGTTTTATTGAATGATCAATATATATAATAAACAAGTATCTATGGAAGTTGTGTTGGAGTAAAATCCACAATCTAGGTATTTAAGAAGATAAAAATGTCGGATAAACAAACAAATTTGTGTTTGGCCTGTAGTGGGATCAGAATGCTTAGAAGCTGCATACTGTGGGCCTAGGCCCCCTCAGACTTAGCTGCGTTGGCCTGTAGGCCTAGTTTATGCCAGTGTAAGTAGTACCAGTGCAAATATATAGGAATTTGGGTAAACCCCGATTTTACGAATACCCACATTTACGAACAGCTCTGTGCCCGTACGTAAATGAGGGGTTCTACTGTATTTTCAATGTACAGTAATTGAATTTGCTGTGCAGTACATCCAAAGAAATAAAAACAGGTACTGTAGGTATTATATGGTAAATAGTATGTTAACTTTTTGTAGGCTAGTCATACCAAACCCACTGGACTTTGCTATGCCTATTTCAGCAGCTAGACCCTAGCTAGCCTACAACAGCCTTGTTCAGAAAGGGTTCAATAGAAATGTTCCACAAACCAAACCTCCGAAAAAACCGAACATCGTAGCCGGTCTGGAGGGGGGGGGGGTCAATATTGGAAGAGTGCACTGTATAAATAAAAGAACAAAAAATATTGAACAATGGTGATACATTTTAACCAAATTTCTTTTTGAGGCTTATTGGGTGGAGTATCCTTACATTTTCCATGGTGATTTTGTCAGGGATCTTCAGATGGCATTACCGTAAAATTAGTTTACCAAATTGAATATGTTTGATTTTTAGGAGCTAAAATACAGAAATCGACTAGTGGAATACGTTTGATTGAGGGCAACGGATCAGCTTACACACTACAATCGGTTGGTGGTGTTCAAGGTCTTAAAAATCACATGCGTCAACTACTCCAACATTTCTATGATGTAAGTATAAATTTTGGAAGTGCTCAATTCAAATTTTTCTGATCATTCTCTTTTATCTTCCAGGCACCGAAAAATATCAGTCTTAAGCTAAAAATAGAACTTTATTTAAAACAAATTCGGAAGGGCTGTGTCCAATTTCCAAAATTCAAATAATTGTAGTTATTAATTTGGTATATGTTTTGTAAATCGTTGCATTTGGGATTTGGGGTCCAACGGCAGCTGCAGTGCAGTGCCACCCTGACATATGACAGATATAAAACTTCGGCCTTAACCCACCTAACTCTCAATATGAAGGTTATTCAAGGATCGAGCCAAGACTCCAATAAAAACCCAACGCTGGCTGGGTTTCAACTGTGGTTTTCAGCACAAAAAGCAGGGACACTACCTTTCATCTAACCGCTCAGCTTTGTATAGAGCTGAAATCTAGAATCAACAGACATTATTTTCAATTTATCCCAGACAAGGAAAAAATATCTTATGAAATTTAGTAGACACAGGTCCTTGAAGAGTTGGTATGAATTCAAATCTTGATGTTTTTAATTTCTCTCCCTCAGTCCCACGAACAATGTCAGACCTTGGAGTCAACGATATCCAGCCTCGAAAAGAAAACAGACAAAGGGCCGTACTTCCCGCTGATCCTGTGCAGGTATGTTTCGTATTTTATTTATACGCACCTGTTCCTATGGAGCTGTCACGAACTTCATTGGTATTCAGCTTCAGCTGTGATTCAGTGCGCTTGAGAGTAATTTTTTGCAAACACAATGTTTTTATTTCTTGTTAGTGAACTTGGGGCTAAATCATTGGGTAGATTGAATCTGTATTTGATTATTATAGACTATGTTGACTAGCTCATTTCTAGTGTACTGACTTGTACTGGTATGGGCATTTATAAAGCACCTCTTACCTAAAGTTATAACTCGCAGTTCCTTTCCCTGGTCATATGGTCCACATGCTTTAAGTGTTGCTGCTGGTAATCAGCGTAGGAGCAGGCAACCCCATCAGGTACCCATTTATACTCCTGGGTGGAGAGAAGCAATGCAGATAAAGTGCCTTGCTCAAGGACATAAGTGAAATGCACAGCGAGGGATTGAAACCCCGATCTCGAGGTTGGGAAACGGAAACCGGTTTAAACATACATGTATAAAATTTCATTTGGCTTCTAATATATTAGGTAAATTTTCTTTAAACTTTATGTACCACTACACCTGAGGAGAACCAACAAAGTTGGTCGAAACTGTATTGGTACGTAAAGATTTGTTTTAGCTTAGCATCAAAGAAAATTAACCTAATAATATATTAAAGTATAAAGCTAGGGAAATTATAGGAACTTAATCAATAATTTTGTATTTGAAATAATGTATCAGAAGCGCCCTCTATGTAAAAGTGTTAAATTGATGTACCATCCCTTACATCCCAATATATCTGTTGCTAATTTATCACATGTCTTAAAATAATTTTAAATTTGGTATTAGATTGCACTTTTTGCACATTGTTATTGAAACACAAAATTATATAGTTTATAAACACAGCCAGCCACACTGTTGATGTATTGGGTCAAAGTTCAAAAGTAAAATAAAATGGCTGCACCTAATCAAAGCCCCGCCCCTTGGATATTGTCGGTGAAGTCCCACAAGACGACAGTGTTAAAACATACGCGAACACATGCGTTTGTGGGACAACTTGTGTTTTTGTGAGATACGCGCATAAAAAAACCCAGTGCTGTTCAAAAACGCAGTGCTGTTCTGACACCGGAAGGGTCTATTGGTTGGTAAGTGATTGCTTATAAAAATGGCTACATCCACATGCTCTAGTAGTTTTAAGCCCATTTTAAAGTAATTAATTTTTTTTTTTTTAATTGCAGGAGGCCTGCATCTTCTGATTCAGAGAAGGAGAATTTAAAGTCGCAAAAAGCTGTAAAATGCCGGTCGCCAAAGAACCAAGGATCGGACAAAGTGCTGCAGTCTTCACCCAGCATCATAGCTCCTGTCACTGCCTCTGTCTGCTCGTTTGACGGCACGGTGCTTAGTTCCAGGAGTACTGGTATAAACAAAGATCACAACCATAACTTTGATGACAAAGGTATTGGCTTTTTAATGTAAAAATGAGGTATTTCCTGACGAAATAGTTAAGTTGTCGCACAGGCCAGTATTGAGTAAATGAGCTATAAAATATGGGAGTTCAAAAAAATTGCCTAAAAAATCCAAATTTGTTTTTCATTATAGATCAACAGTTTAATGTTTTATTAATCATGTACCAAAGTATTCGTTCTGGAAGTGGTCAACAAATTGTTTATTTAATGTTATTTTGATAGTCCATTCTATTAAACAATGTATGCACAAATAACTTCAAAAGGCAATTACTTAAAATCATGTTTATTTTGATTCTAAGAGTACTGTACTTTCACTTTCCAATAACTTAGGCTTGAAATGTCCAATTTCAATGAATGACCCCTCATTTTAAAGATGACATACTCAGGTATCTGAAAATACCAATAACTTGAATTTCAGTTTTTGCTACAACTTAACCATTTTGCCACAACATGCCTCAAATGAGTCCACAATAATCTTTTTTGTGACAAACTTTTGATTTGCTCATATATGTATGTGTGTGATATGATATCTTCATGCCCATATATGGGTGTATTGTTGACAAGAGATATAAGTCAATATGTATTTGCTACAAAGCTAAAATTTCTTTTGTCCAGCTTCTTATTTTAAATATAAATCTGTATAATACAACTTACTGTATCCATTAAATGCACATTCAGTTTTAAATAAATATAACTTCTGTAATGATTTTCACTACCGTACATTTGTTAGTGTAAATGTAGTTTCCTTTTGCGAATAATCGCTGTTGCTATTATAAGTTGACTGGAACAATCGTAGAAGGGTCACCAGCACGACCCCAATTTACACTTTTGGTAAAACAATATTTCATGGTTAATTTACACTAACCATGAAATCTACACATCAAGTGTATAAAATTAAAGTGAATAAAATAAATTGGCACATCAAGAAAAGCTTCACAGACAAAAAAAAAATATAGGGAATTAAATTTGACACAAAAAAAAAAAGAAGATAAAAAAATACATCAGACACTGGTTTGGCTCTCAATCTTGTTGGCATATAGCCATCAAGCCACTAGCTACAAAATCTTTTTTTGGAACTAGTAATCTTTTAAGTTTTGTCCGCACTATCAAGTTTTGTGAGACAAATGATCGGCCATATATGATCATGATGATATCATAACTTACCCATATATGGAAAAAATCACAGATAGCCATCAAGCCACTAGCACTTAGGGTATAGAATTTTGGAACTAGTAATCTTTTTGTTAAGTTTTGTCCGCACTATCAAGTTTTGTGAGACAAATGATCGGCCATATATGTGTATGATGATATCATAACTTATCCATATATGGAAAAATCACAGGTGTTTTCAACAAATAAAAACTATGATAGTGTGGCCAGAGCTTAAGGTTGTAAGCTGCTTTAAAGTAAAGAGAAAAACAGAAATTCACATATGGTAAAATAATATTCTCTGAACATGCTGTTAACTTATCGCTTAAAAAGTTATCTTTACCTGGATAAATTGCTTCAACAGCCGATCAAAATAGGTACATGCTGTTCTTGAAGAGAATGTAAAGGGGGGGGGAGGGGCATGCTTAAAGAGTCACTTTTACTTAGCTATTTCCTTTGATGCTACTGCAATGTAAACAGAGCCATCAACACAACCAAACAAAGAGAATCTTAGCACTATTTTGACTAGGAATTAGGCCATACTCATACATATGACATTGAGGTTATGCTTATATAAAGTGTTGAAACTTTGTTAAAAACATTCATCAGAACACAAATGAAAGAAATCTGGTGATATGCCCAATATTTCAGCTTTATTTTATATTTGTATATTGATGTCTACCATATTTTTACATTTCAATTCAATTCTTTCTTTGTAGGTTTCAATAAGCAAGATAAACAGAGTGGTATGTCACATAACAACATCATTAAAAGTATTTTTGTTCCAAATGTTGGCTGGGCATCGCAGGTAAGCTTATTGAAATTCATTAAGTATATAAGTTGTATAACTGACTAAAAAAGTGTTTTTAGTTGGAAGCAGACATCCAAATTAACACCCCCATTAACCATAAGGTCTTAAATCATGCCACCAAATTAGTTTGAGGTTTTTGAATAATCTTTCACCATTGTAGTACTCTGCTCTCCTCTTTCACATTAATATTCTTTTCTCTATTTTTTTTTCCACTTCTGGATCCACCCCAGCCCAATACATGCAAGATACAAGCATGAATAATGCAGTTTTGAAAATTGAATTATAAAACAATAATTGGACAATGATAATAATTATTAAATATAAAGTAGTATTAGTACATTAAACCAAATTAGTAACATTAGTAATTAATAATCATTTATAATAGTTGAATTAAAGTATTCATAGACAACATAATGGAATAAGATAATTATGTATCATTAAAAAGATTGTGATTGTTTTGATGTTCACACTATTACTCACATTAAAAAAAAATTATTGTATACTTGACCTCTGTCTCTTATACACATCTAGATGTGTATAAGAGACAGCTCAATCTTGTTGGCATATAGCCATCAAACCACTAGCTACAAAATCTTTTTTTGGAACTAGTAATCTTTTAAGTTTTGTCCGCACTATCAAGTTTTGTGAGACAAATGATCGGCCATATATGATCATGATGATATCATAACTTACCCATATATGGAAAAAATCACAGATAGCCATCAAGCCACTAGCACTTAGGGTATAGAATTTTGGAACTAGTAATCTTTTTGTTAAGTTTTGTCCGCACTATCAAGTTTTGTGAGACAAATGATCGGCCATCATATGCCATTGTTTCAGTTGGACTTAAGGTATAAAAATTATATATTGGAGAATTAAAAATTCAGTTATTGTTATTTGTTTTACATAGATGGCATCGGGAGAGGTATGGGTTCAGTATAATGACGGATCGCAGATTATTGTCAAGTCTGCGACCACTACGGTCAAGTACATCGACATGAAGGGCAAGATGAGCAGGTGAGTCTGGGGGTCAGTGACCAGTTTAATGAAGGGTCAATGACCAATTCAGCAACAGGGTCAATGCCCAGTTTCAATGTGATGGTCTATGCGAAGTTCAGCATAAGGGTCAATGCCTAGTACAACATAAAGGTCATTGCCCATCAATAGAATGGTAAATGCCCAGCTCAACACAAGGGTCAGTGCCCTGTTCATGATAAAAGGTCACTGTCCATGTTAAAAGGTCATTGTTTATGCTATGTTCCTGTGAATCATGGATAATGCAATTGAATAGTCTGTAGCTTGCATGATCCTCTAGTTGCCAATAGAATTAGGATACATATACTCTCTTTAGTTACCCCTCTTTATGTTCCCCATTTGGTAACCCTGCTCCACACCCCAAATCTTGGTGTTTCTAAATTTAAAAAAGAAAGCCTAAGTTGAATCCAAAATGGCATTGAAAAATTGTTTGACTTCGATAAATAACTTACAGATGGTTAATTAAGTGAAAACACAGCAATTTGGCACATATAATAAGATCGACTTAGAAATTATTTGAGTTAGGCAAAGTCGACTTTAGGCAAGTTTAACTGTAGTTTAAAATATTTATCATTATAGCTTTGCAGCTAACTTGAATATGATGCATTGTCATTCCATTTATTTATTTAGACAAGTTCCTTGGGGCCCAAAAGTTACCATAAGAAAAGTCTGAAGCCCTAATAAACTAAACTTAAATACTTGCTATAATATAAAAATGAAAGCTCAAAAATGTAGATAAGTGAAAGGCTAAGATAAATTCAAATTATCCTATGTACAGATTTTACACACAAACAAAAATTATTAATTTATTCAATATTTTACTTCGGAAAAGATTTCCATACAACAAAATTAATAACATTTTAAATTAATATTAACATAACAATAATATTTTTTTTTTTTTTTTTTTATTAACTCTCCTCATTCTTTTAAGTAGAATGTATCCTGCCATGCAGTATAATTTTTTTTTTTTATTAGCATATTACACATTCTTGGCATAACTATGTTCCTATCTTGCATCAGTCATACTTTCATTTGGGACGTGATTTGGCTGCTTCTCCCGGTTTTGCCCGTATTACTTTTTTTTGTAGTAGGAAAAGTACTGTATGCAAACGTATTTGCAGCTGCTAGGAATCAGGCAAGCTATTGCTAATGTCATTTGCACATTAGGATATCAAAGAAAAAAAAAACATATATTGACATGCTGTTGGTTAAGACTACAGTAATTTGAAGTTTGCCTTGCTAGATTTTTTTAGTGTGGAAAGTACAGTGTAAATTGACTTTCAGCCGTTGATAATAAGACTGGCTCCAGTTAATGTCATAAATTTGATTTGTGAGATATAAGATTAAAAGAAAATAATGCTGCCAACTAAAGTGAGTTGAAATCGAACAATGTGTATAGTTGAGAAAAATGGTATAAATTGCATTTCTGGCCGTCTGGTGGTGCCAGATGCATAAATTTTCTTACCTCGACCCCCAACCATGGTGGGGCTGAAGTGGTCTAGACTCTGTCTGTGAAAGTCCCTCCATGGGACCCCCTCTATTTCAAATTCATTAAGCTGGCACTGAGTAGCACTCTAACAATTTAAATTACCCTTTTTCCGTTTCTGGTGGGGAAGTATTGTAAACTCCTTGTAGCTGTTTGGTTTGAGGCTAGCTGTAGTAGTTAATGTTGTTAGCACTGAATATTATATGAGATAAAACTAAAAATGGGTAAGATAGCAGTGACTGACAAATTAAAATCAAAATAATGCCAAATAAAATTAATTCCTAGTTTTACATCCCTACCCTCATCATATTTTGGAGCATTATGACAAAATTTCTATTTGCATTTTTCAAAATATTATTTTGAAAAATTGCAAATAGATATTTTTCCTTCGAGAATAAAAATAATGACCTAGAAGAGGTGGAATGTTTGGCAGAAATACATTACAAAGATTCATTTTACTTATTTCATTAAAAAAAAAACAATAATTTTTATTTTATTTAAGCCTGTTTACCACTAGTAGTATTTAGAATAGCAAATAGTAAAATAACTAATACCCTCTTCGAAAAATAATTTCAAATCTCACATGTGACTAATAATTAATTTTATTTTGTCCTATGTGTATAAAATAGTATAAATTATATTATAAATAAATACGAAAATTGATTCATCAAATGACTAAGAAAATGAGTATCAGTCATATACAGATTTTCGGAAGTACAACTGTCCAATTACTCGCGTAATATTCGGCCTTCATTTAATCTCGCTGCGTTCAAGTGGCGTATATTCAAATGAAATTAACTTCTATTGCAGGCCGCTGACTCAATGCACAACGTAACAACCTTAGTCATGGCCAGCAGGGAAGTCTTAATTACTGGAGATTTATACATTTGATATGTATTCCACTATGTCTTTTTTTTTGCATTCCATAATGTTATTGGTACCCATAATGTAACTTGTATCCCAAAATGCTTTTCTCTATCACACACAGTATAATATATTT